TCTTTAATTTTTCTAGCTTTTTGATATATGCCCTTGGCCGACCTTCTCAAATAAATTCTCTTTCTTTTTAAATTAACTGTTGAATTGATGAGATTTTATGAGATATAAGGAGGAGAATCACATCAGGCAAGTAATTGGAGAAGAGAGATAAACTAAAGCAATTCAAAGCAATTTTGTGTGTGCAGATGCCAGAGAAAAGATCAAAACAAAATTGAAATATGCATTGCCTGCAAAGGAGAGGCAAGATTCTGTATACAGTGGATTTCAGGTACATGCTTACCTCTAATGACATACTCATGCTCTTCAATCACATCTTTTCTAAAGTGCCTATTTTGAGTGGCCATTTGCCAATTTTTATTACGTGTTCATAATTTACAGAAACTATTCTGATCTAGCAATTGTTCTAATGGAAGTTCTTGAACTTTGGTGCCATTTGTATTTTAGGATGTCACTCAGATGTTTTTCCAAATAATATAGACTTTAGCACTGTTACAAGCCTTAGTAATCGTACTTAAACTTCTTCTAACACACTCACACTTACTGTTTTTCTCATATAACCTCAATGTCATTTATATGATGTAATGTTTTGTTTGATGTATCAGGCAGATGATGTGAACTCTGAACTCATTTGCATCCATGACTCTGCAGAAGATATTTATTGACAAGGTTTGATAATCAAGGGTTTGTTTTGTTAACTTTTCCTGTTTCATATTTGGCAAAATACTTTATACTACGTATGATTTATGTTGCTCCCTCTGATCCTCTATAAAGCCTTAGTATGTGTTCCCTTTTTGTCGATTCTTTGCAGGGGCACTGCATTTCTACTGACTCTCATAGACTTGGGGTTATTATATGGCTCATATGTTCCCGATTAGTGTACCTCAGCTTGGTTCCTTACATTCATACAACGAAACTTATGTGTACAAGGTTTGCCCATCAGCACCTTCCTTAATTTTCTTGAGTAAATTTTCATGTTTGTGGAAGAAGCCACTTGAATTTTGTTGTGTACAATTTCATAATTTAAATTTAAGTAAACTGAACATGATAGAAGAGTTTCCATACGAGTCACAAATAGCTATGACTAAGTTTGCAAAACCACTTTTTAAGAACAAACGACCATTATACAATGCTTAATAATTTCTTTACTTATGATGGGTGCTTCCTAGGAATATTTATTTTCAATAATTTTAAAAAAACTGTTTTTTGTAAATAATTAATCAGACACCATAAGCCTCGTCATTCCTTCCCAGTCAATCGTCCGGCCAGCCTTGAATGTGGCGTCAGCAATCTTCTCTACTGCCCCGTTCATTCTCTCTTTTGTTTCTGTTTGGGGCATTTTTGGTGATATTTTGCACAGTAATGGAAACCTGATAGTTTTGTTAGCTAATAAATTAATCACTATGTGTTATAGAGGTAGATAAATGACTGGTTCTAGTTATTAGGTTTAACTCTGGTTTCAAGTGATAGCTTTAAGTCTTAGTGAGCTTTAAAGGTTAAATTAAATAGATGAGTTAGTTTTTAGCCTGAAGTATTTATTCGGCTTGTATTGTTTAGTTGAGTTCAAGACGCCAATTGATAGATTTAGTTTGATTTGGTATTAGTTTCAAGCTTTCATGAACTGATGTGCAAATTGCTAGGTTTAATTTATAATTTTAGCTAGTTGGGTAGGGCTATTTCTTATGATAATTTTAATTTATAATGCTAGCAGCTATTTCTTTAAAAAAAATGCTAGCAGCTATTTCTTTTTAAAAAATGCTAGCAGCTAGCTTATGTGTAGTATTTGGGTTTGATTTTTCATATCATTCAATTGTGTCATTATTCTAATCATTTTAACTATCAATCCTTAAAGTTAGCTTCACTTCCCCACCTCCTCAATTTAACTTTTGTATTTAGTTGTCATCAAATTTTAATTTCTGCAGATCCTGGACAAGTTTCATTTTTCGCAGGATACATGAGTCGTTCAAGGTTGCATCAATGTATTCAATCCTTGGTGTTTTTTTAATTAGGTATAAGATTGACCATTTTTGCAGGTTTAAGTCTTTATAAAGGCCGTGTACTCGCTGTAATATTTTATACCTTTTTGGGACACAATACTCTTATAAAGTTGGTTATTTTAAATAATCGAAGTTATTAGCATTTTTTTGTATTTGATGTGTACCTTGAATACATGTTACTTTATATGAGTGATGACTTTATTTTACTCTGTACTTTATGTAAAGATTGTGCTTTGGTGTAAGAACATGTTAAATTATCCATTTGGAGCAATAATATACGGAGTAAGAAAATATGTAGCATGATAAATTGTCCATTTGGAGCAATAATAAGAAAAAAAGCAGCAGTTTTTATAGGAATAAATAAAATAAATTTTGCTGAACTATTTGCTGCGGTTGTATAGGAACCGCCGCAATAAATAAATTAAAAAAATAGACACACCTATTTGCTGCGGTTGTTGACCGCCGCAAATAACTTAATCCACATTTTGCTGCTCCTCCAATTGCTGCGGTTCAGAACCGCAGCAAATAGCTTAAAATAACCGCAGCAAATAGACTTTTTTCTAGTAGTGATTGTTCTATTTTTTCTTTCGCACACCCCGTTTTGTTGTGGTGAATGACGAACTGTCAATTCATGACGGATCCCGCTGCTCTTGCAATATTCCTCAAAGTCATTTGAAAAATATTCGCCTCCTCGATCAGTCCGCAAGGTATTGATTTTTAGCCCAGTAAAGTTCTCCACTTCTGCCTTGAAATCTTTGAATTTCTCAAAAGCTTGAGACTTTTCTTTAACACAATAAACCCAAACCTTTCGGGAGTAGTCATCGATAAATGAGATAAAATACCAATTACCTCCCAAAGATGGAGCTGACATCGGGCCACATAGATCCGAGTGAACTAGCTGGAGTGGTCTTCTTGCTCTCCACGGAGTGTGTGAAGGGAAAGGTTGTCTGTGTTGCTTTCCCAGTTGACAGGATTCACAAACATTATCAAGACGGTCAAGCTTTGGCATACCTCTCACCATCATTTTCTTAGAGAGTGTCTCCAAACTTCTATAGTTTAGGTGGCCATATCTCTCATGCCACAATCTGGAAACTCCTATGTCATTACCAATAAAACATGACATGTCTCGTTTCTTAAGAACGAGTGAGAAAAGATTATTTGAGGCAACTCCAATTCTGGCAACAACTTGATTCTTTCTTGACAAAAAACATGCCATATCTCTGAAGTGAATATCATATCCCTTCCTCAAAAGATGACCGACACTGAGCAGGTTGTTCTTTAATCCAGGAGCGAAATATACTTCAGACATTTTCTCAATTCTTCCTAGTTTTGTTTTGAACTCCAACTCACCAACACCACAAACTTTGTATGACTTTCCATCTCCTACTTTGACCTCTCCGTAGTTTCCTTCAAACAGTTTGGTGAATAAACACCTATTACCTGTCATGTGTTTGCTAGCACCACTATCCAGGTACCAAACATCTTCACGATCATCTCCTTGAGCCACGAGCAATAGCGTGTCTTGACTTTAGTGTTCCTCGTTCTTTCCTTCACATGCCAAATTGGCATCATGTTTTCCTTTCTCTTTAAACCAGCACTCACTTGCCAAGTGACCGGGTTTTTGGCAATTGTAGCATTCAAAATATCCGCGACCTCTTCCTCTTTGAGATCCACGTCCTCGTCCTCTTTGCGAACCTCTAAAGTTTCTGCTTTGATTTGATTCACTCCATCCCTTTTCTTGGTTTGCATAATGAGATCCTCTTCCATGAGAATATGAGCCTCTTCCTCTAAGATTTCCTCCTCTTCCACGACCACGATTTGCTCCATGACTTCTGAATTCTTCCTTTTTCTCATCTAGAGACAATTTTGATTGGAGCGCTTGATCTACTGTCACCTCCTTTTTCCTGTTTAGTTTTTCTTCATGTGCTTCCAGCGATCCAGAGAGTCGATCAAGCGTCATGGTGCTCAAGTCGTTTGACTCTTCAATGGCTACTACAATGTAGTCAAATGCAGAATCCAAAGAACGAAGGATTTTTTCAACCACACGAGTAGTGTCCATAGTTTCACCATTTGTTTTCAGTTGGTTAACTACGTGCAATACCCGAGAGAAATATTCTGAAATTGATTCTGACTCCGTTTTTCTTAGTTTTTCAAACTCCCCTCGAAGAGTTTGCAGTCGGACCCTTTTCACTTTTTCATCTCCCTTGAATGAATTCTCCAAGATTTGCCATGCTTCCATTGCTGAAGTGGCAGAAGCTATTTTCTCCCAAGCAGGTTCATAAGATTGCACTCCTTGGTATATCCAGAATAGGGCTTGTTGATTCTTCTTTCTTGATCTTCTTAGATTCTCTCTTTGAGCTTGTGTTAACCTCTCTTCATCTTCCACTTCAGTATATCCCTTTTCTATTATCTCCCAATCTTCTTGGGATCCAAGAAGAGCCTTCATTTGGATACTCCATTTTGCATAATTTTCTTTGTTCAACTGAGGTATAAAGGAAAGAGGAATATTGTTGTTCATGTTGATCGGACTGCTCTGATACCAGTTTAAAGTAAATAAAATTTCATTCACTTGGGCTCACATCATACAATGTAGAGATGAACAATTTATAGGATGAGAGATCCAACTCTTCATATTCTACACCATTCATATTCCTAGGCAATTATTAATCTAGAATAAAAGACTCTTCACATTTCAAGATCTTTCAATGAACCTAGACACTTCCAAGGATTTAATCTTCCAAGTTTAATTTCAATTCCCCAACACTCCAATCCCGACATACAATCGAATGTTAATTGACAAACGTTGAAGTCAAGTTGTTGGGTGGGCATCGGATATTCACCTACCATAGTACCATGCATTCCTTAAAGATAGGCATATCCGTTGGAGGATATTAATTAATTCCAGACAGATCATTAAACCTCTCCTAATAGAACCTGAACTCTGAGATAATACTCCGTGTAATTCTCGGCATTACTCTGAGAATTTTGCACTACATTATATTAACACTAGACTAGACTATTAAAGCTTCTTTCAAAGAGCAATTTTGATTTTCACTTCGATTAAAGAATGCAAAGGGTAAAAGTAAAACCCTTATTTAAAAGATCAAAACCTAGCCGCGCCTAGCTTCGTTGGAATTGTAACCCAACGAAATACAATCTCTGCTAGTAATATCTGAAATCAACCATGGCGTGTCCAACGTCGGAACGTGAACGCCATCTTGTGGGTGAACTTATCGTATTAACAGTCTTCATAATACTACTTTTGACCACACTTGGTTTATCTATCTGGCGGGATTTTCATTCGCCGACTCCAAAAGTACGCATCGTTAACTTCAGCCTCTCACCGAATCTTACCGCCGCCGCCGCCAACGGCAACCGTTCTTCTGTAGAGGCGCCGCTCATCACGGCCAACTGCAACCTTTCTTTAGCCTTCGACAACAACCAATTCAGCGGAGGTGATTATAATAAGGTAAATCAGTACGATGAGATCGAGGTATTGGTGGTCTGGGCCGGCCGGAACGAGACGTTCATGCGGGCCCACCCCGGAAGCTTCTGGCAGAAATATTATGAGCAAAAGTCGGTGGTGCTGGCGGCCAACGATTCTGTTGTGCCGCCGGATCTGGAATCGGCGGTGGTTTACACGTTCACGGTTGAAGTGAAAAGTAGGGTTAAGGAGGACCCCATGACCATGGATGAGGAGACGTTTTACATAAAGGCAACCTGCGACAATGTGCGGGTTGGGTTTGGGTCAACGGAAGGCGTTGACCGGATTGCGACCATGTTAGATGGACCACAGAAGTGTAAGGTTGTGAAGTCGAAGTCTAGTTTCAACGTTTCATATCTGTTTTATGCACAACGTAATAAGGCATGATTTTGTCAAAGTAATACTCCGGCCGTATTTGCATTCTTATGACTTAAACTAGATTTTTCACCCGTGCGTTGCACCGGATAAATTTTCTAATAATGGCATTATCAAATATTAGGATATATATGCATTTAACATTTTCATTTATAGAAACTGCTTTGATAATGTATATATGACGACTCTTATTTAGTAAACAATTTCAAGATTGGACGATCAATACATCTTTGATGTTTACGGATGTACAATGTAAAAAAGACCATCTTTAATATTTTCTTCATTCGATAGTCTCCTGCCACCAATACTTGGCTATTGTTCTATATTAAATTTCTATGTTTTAATGTAAATGACATAAATCTTCCGCCAATAAAATTTATATTGTCTATTTTTTCCTCTATCTATATGTTATTAACACTACAAAAAAATAGGGCTGTAGTCACAGATTTAGTCATGGACCGCAGTGTAAAAAATCTGTGACTAACTCCAATAATTTGAGCATATATATAAACTCATTCGAATTAATAAATAATACTTACATTTAACTAATATTATAAAAAATTTAACTAATTTACGTAATTTTAACTAAATACAAATTAATTAACACTATGCTTAAATTACAACTACGTTTAACTAATTTATTTCACTAAATAATCAACTAGCTAATTTTCACTAAATTAAATGAAATGCACACAATTCACAATAATAATGCAAAAAATATAAGTAATGTTTTAATCCAAACTTAACCCATTACAAATCCTAAATTAGGCATTAACAATAATTGCTAATAATAAAATGTAATAATTCAAGCATATATATGTAAATCCATTTGAATTAACTAATACTTAAATTTAACTAATATTATAAAAAATTTAAGTAATTTAACACTACATTTAAATTAAACCTACGTTTAACTAAATTTAACTACTTCATTTCGTTAATTAATGAACAACCTTTTTTAAACACATTTCAATTAACAAATATTTAAATTTAACTAATATTATCAAAAGTTTAACTAATTTAACTTAATTAGCTAAAACGTACGTTTAGCTAACTAATTTTACTTAATTTAACTTAATGCATCACTATGTTTAAACCTACGTTACGTTTAGCTAACTAATTTGACTTAACACATCACTATGTTTAAACCTACGTTTAGCTAACTAATTTTAATTAAATTATTTTATAAACCTAAAAATTTAACTAATTTTTTGACATCACTACGTTTATAGTTAAATATACTGTTAATTAATTAACAACCTCACTAATATAATAGTTTTAATAATTTAAATTGAACCAAATAATTCTAAATAAAAATAATAATTCAAATAACATACCTTATCTGCATAAATAGGGAAAATGACATAAGATAGACTACATCCTTCGATCTTTCAAACAAATACTGTATTATATAGTGTGATTGAATTGATGTGGTTCGGTTGAATGAGTTGCTCCTGCATATATAAAAAATCTAGTCACGAACGTAGTCACGGATTTGTCCGTCACTAAGCAAATCTGTGTACATTACGCGTCCAAACCGTGTAAATGACGTGTAAATTACGCGTGGAAATAATGTTATTCGTTTTACATGTCCGTGACTAATTTTATCCGTACAAAATACCGTTGCGAAATAATTTCTGAGCGTCGAAAATTAATTTTTTTCTCTAGTCATGGACTTAGTCACGGATATGTCAGTGACTAAGATACCGGAATAAAATCACACACGCCGGAAACAGAATTGGTCTACCGGAGGATTTTAGTCACGGATTTGGTCCGTGACAAAGTTTAGTCACGGTCATAGTCACGGTCAAATCCGTGACTATTTTTTTCTTTAAAACCGTGACTAGTCTGTGACTAGTCCGTGACAAACTAGTCACGAACCAAATCCGTGACTACAAGGCTGTTTTTTTGTAGTGATAACAAAAAAAAAAAATATCCCAAATCTGTGATAACATTGATATTATCATATGGAAGCTGACATCAAACTCTTTTAGAAATAAGTTTTGATTCTTGTTGTGAACCCTCCCCGAAGAAAAATCAAGTAATTACCCTATGTGATCGAAGTAATTTTACAGGAATAATTTCAAATCAAAATCAATAGACACTCATGTCTAAATCTATTTTATATTTAAAGTAAAAGAGTCATAAAAACGAGAAAGATCAAATAAAACATTAAAATTACATATGAATTTCATATTGATCACTAAGATTTCACGTTGACCAAATTGAATGATGTGATTATCCGTTGTGAATCTCATATTGGATTCACATATAATCCGTTGTTTTTAGAAACTCACTTATGATTCTTTTATTTCTTTGATAAATAATGTTAGACTTATTTTTCCTTTCCTTTTTTGGTATCAGTTAACTAACCTAATTGATGTATATAGTTTTAGATTAGAATATTCAATTTGAGATTTTAGAATATGTCTTTCGATTTTAATTAATAGCTTCTTATACTCCCTCCATATTTAAAAGTTTGCTACACTTAGGGTATGTTTGGCACAACTAGCTAAAAAGATACTTTTACGAGCTTTTTAGTAGCAGTTAACTTTTAGTGACTGAAAAGATCTTAAAAAGAAAAGGTGATAGCTGTTTTGTAAAAAGCTGACTGTTTGATTTAGTTCGGTTTGGTATACAAGCTGTTAGGACTAATTAATATTAAAAGTCACGAGCTTTTCTCATATGCTACACCCGGTATCATCTCAAAAAAGATCTTTTAATTTTTGAAAAGCTCTTAAAAAATGTCATGCCAAACATACAACTAGAGTCTTTTAAGGTCTTTTTAAAGAATAGAGAAACTAGAAGCTATAGCCTTTTGTTTGCCAAACATACTTTTTTTTGGTAAGTTTTTTCTTTAAAAAAATTCTCAATCACCCTTATTTATTCTACTTTTTATATTCCCTCTCCTACTTTTTCTAAACTATTCATTACCCGTACTATTTCTCCAATAAATTTGTGTGAAGATCTAATGTAATGATCTTTAAAATACGGAAGGAGTATGTTTAGTTACAAATATAATTATGACTTTTTATTCATATAATTTGCTAAATTGATGTAATATAATTAAAGAATTTTGTTACATTATAAAAGATTTTCTTAATTGGAACATTTAATTATATGCTCCCCCGTGTTTAAAAGATCACTACATTAGATCTTGACATAAATTTAAGAAGGAAATAATAGGGTAGAAAAAATATGAGAGAAAGTGAAAAAGTAGGAAAGAAAATATAAAAAGTAGAAAAAGTAAGGGTAAGTGAATATTTTTAAAGAAAAAATTTACAAAAAATGAAAAGTGTAGCAAACTTTAAATACATTTCAAATAGGAAAGTGTAACAAACTTTTAAATACGAAGGGAGTATTATAAATCAAAATACACCAATTAAGCTATTTTTATTTTTTAGGCACAAAAAACAAAAGAAAAGGAACACTAATAGCTTTCATCGACGAAATATGCAAAAGTGGAAAACCATTTATGGATGTCCAAAAATGAACAAAAAAAACGTTAGAATTATGCTTATTTTGTTCATTGAAATTTTAGTATTCAGATTCACGTATAACTATAGTGTCCAATTTGTATAATAGTCATGTACTCCGTATAATATAATCATACAGTCAAGAATCATATGGTCATACATTCTACTTCCACCTAAACAAACCGCTAACTAAATATGAAAGTGAGTAATTCTTTTTATGAATAAACTCGTGTTTTCCCTTTATAAAAAATAGGGAAAAAGGGTCAAATAGACCCTTCTACTATCATTAAACCATCACATAGACCCACCTACTAATAAAAACATCACTTAAACACATTAACTTAATAAAAACAATCAATTTGGCCCTATTTGCCGGAAAACAACCTTTTCAACCGGTTAAAGCTGTGCTCCGTACGTACGGAGTATTCAACTTTTTTTTCTTTCCCCTTTTCGTTTCTTTCTTCTTGAGTTCTTTCTGCTAGTCATCTTGTCCTATCCTTCTAAGTTCTAGCTAGCTAGCATCAACTGCAATTTTATCCCATAATATATACGTAGTAGTTCTTTCTGATAGCATCAAATAAGTGAAAAAACTGTTTGAAGCATGTAAATCCATGTGGCAGCAAATGAATTTATTTAACTTACTCCACGATTGAGTTTTAAGCTGAATATATTTTATGAGCATAATTTACACTTGATGAAAAACATTCTCTTAAAATTTCATAAAAAATTCCACTCGGAAGAAGGTAAGTCTGATATGATTATTTGATTAGTTTATGGGGCGCTAAGTAAAAAAAATCAATGAAAAAGTTTACTTGTGATAAACAAATTAAATTCTGAATGTCCCCTTCAAAATAAGAACTCATAGAAAAGCAATAATTTAGCTATTAAAAATAATAATAGAGTTAATTTCTTTAATATGATTTAAACATTTGTATAGTGCACATATAAGATCATCATTGTTTCCTCTTTAAATAAGGATCGCCAATATTATCATATGATTGATTTAGACATAATAGGGTTTTACAATTTTTTATAAATGTCTTGAAATATTATTATTATTATTATTATTATTATTATTATTATTATTATTATTATTATTATTATTATTATTATTATTATTATTATTATGCATGTCAATTTAAATAGACAAAAGTTCTACAATTTTTTGAAACATTAGGCCCATTTAAATATTTCGCCCCTAGGCCTACGAACATACATGACCGCCACTGAACATGATATATCTATAAATGCTTCTTTGCCTAGGTTGCTGTGAGTTGAAATCTGTTGAATGCAGGACACGTTTGGGGAACGGTGGGAAAATACGAATTAAACAAAAGGGATGGGAAAATTTAAAGAAAAGAAAAAAAGAAAAAAAAGAAAAATAAGCAACAAGAAAGGGGGTAAATACTAAATAGCGGGAAGGTTGGTATTGGGACGTTGGGTTGTGGGAGTTGGGAAAAGGGGGAGTGGCGTAAGGAAAGCAAAAAAAGAAAATGAAAAATAAATATGAGAGAGGAAAGCAAGGAATGACCGGGTATTAAAGGTTAGTTTTAGATGATTGGGCTCAATTGATTGTTTTTTAAGAGTAAGTGGGCCTATATGATGGTTTTTATAGTATATGGACTTAAGTGACCGTAATAGTAGAAGGGTCTATTTGACCCTTTTTCCTAAAAAATAGAGAGAAAATATGAAAGTGAGTAAATTCATCCGGCATCTTAAATATTATATGTTCCTTATATAACTACCATAAAATAAAATAAAAACAAATGTTATCAAATATATAATGTCATAGGAATAACAATGTTTTGCACTTG